TAAAAGTTTTTTGTAATAAATTGCCAATCACCGAGTCCAATAAGGTAAAATAACGCAACGGAATTATCTAAGCAGTGAAGGATTGCATTTCGCTACTAAAATGACGCTCGAGTTCGTCTTTATAGAAAGGGGTCATATTAAAATAAAAGGGATGGAACTAATTTTCCTTTCCTCTGGATGTCCAGACACAATAATAATTGATGACAGAGAAAAATTACAAATTCCCAGGTGGAGTGCCGTAATCATCTGCGAGTGAAGAAACAATTTCCAATTGGCTTTTGCAATTTTATCGATAAATTTGGTATATTAACGAATGTCAAAGGTAAAAACTAAGAATAAATAAAGTTGGCTTCGTGGTTAGTTTTGTATGCAATGTTATATCGATAAGTACTTATCCTCGAGTAACACCAAATACTCCTTTTTTATACAAGTTCAACTTTTAACTTTGAAATTTCAATACATGAAGAAAAACTGACGTCTTTGACGGTCGACACGCAACCGTTGGTAATATAGTTAATGGTAATAATATATGATACTAGCGGACCCGACAGACGTTGTCCTGTAAGCACGACTGAAACCCGAAAACAACTAATTAAAAAAAAAAAATATGCTGACCGAATTGTGAATCTAAATCATTCTCGAATCGACCTGAAGACACACACACAAATTCATTAAAATCGGTCCAACCGTTTAGGAGGAATTCAGTTACATACACACACAGAATAATTATATAAAGATGATTAAATAATATTATTTTATGTTATAAGCCAAAAAATTCTGTTTTATATATACCGAATAAATACTTACCCCTTCTTCGTCTCTACTTAGATAAATAGAGACGTACGGTCTCTATTTCTATAGTTACGTATCTACTATTAAGAAAGTCAATGCCGCCTAGTGCTAGGTCTAGTGGAGTTTCATATCTGAAGTGGAAATATGCGTCCTTGGTAGAACATTTCAATTTTGTTAAACACTCATGTATGTACAAGTATCGTTAAAAGTTACACTATATTAGAATGGAGGCGGGTATACGACGAGGACCCGAATGGCGTAGTGGGTAGTGTACCTGCCTCCGGCGCCAGAGGGTGTGGGTTCGATCCCCACTACTGGAAAAATATTGTTGGATGAACATGGTGTTTTTCTAGTGTCTGGGTGTTTCTATATGTGTAATATTTATTTATTTACAAAAGAAAAGTATGTTTAAGTATGTTTATCAGTTTTCTAGTACCCATAGTACAAGCTTTGCTTAGTTTGGGACTAGAAAATGTTGTGTACAAATGTGTCCTAAATATTTATTTATTTATTATTTATTTATTTATAAGCTTTTCGCCTGACGCTATTTACTATGCTGAAGCCTTTTGTGTGGCTTGCTTCTGAGCCAGCAACTTTAGGCAGTTTCTTACTGTTTAGTGTACAAATTGTGACTTCTTTCCCTCGGATTTTAACAGTCACGCAACAGCCTTTACTGTTGCACGTATGGACGAGTCCGTCCGATGAATAACCACGACCTCTCAGAAGATCGGCCTGAAGTGGCAGTATTACACTACTGCGTTTCGTCTGGTGAGTGAGGTTACCAGGGCCGACTTTATTAACTGGTGGCAACGCATCTGCAACCCTAAGGGTGTTGCAAATGTTTGTGAGTGGTTTTTTTTTTATGCGAAAAGTTGTCAAACGAGCAGACGGTTCACCTGATGTTAAGTGAATACCGCCGCCCATGGACATCTGCCACACCCGAGGGTTACAGAGGCGTTGACAACCTTTTGAAAATTGGGCTCCGGCTACCCCAGACGAAACCAGCCTCACTCTACCAACCAACCCTCACCCTCAACCCTCACTCACCAGACGAAACGCGAAAGTATTTGTCATACTTTCACTTTACGCCGGTCTTCTGTAAGGTCATGGTAATTACCCGGACGGGCCTGCCCATTCGTGCAACAGCTGAGGCTGCTGCGTGGCTCTACCACCGTGGTGGTTATCACTTAATATTAACAGAATCGCCAGCTCGCTTGCCACCATCCCAAATTAAAAAAAAATGCTTTTCGCGTTAGCCTGTACCACACTTCGTGGAGGAATACACTCAGTTGTTATGTCAGTTTGTTTATTGCGGCTTAGTTAGCGGGCTCGCGGTTTACGAGCTGTGTAGGCAGATTTTAACGTGCCTCCGTCGTAAAAGCAACTCACACGTTCGGACCCTTATGCGTTCAAGAGTACAGAGTCTTTAAGGGGCGATGTGGTTTCAAAATTGCCGCACTAATACACTAGTAGTTATTAATTTTGCGTCGTTAGTGTGGAATCGGTGTTACGTACCTTGTTACATACTCACTTACGATGCTATTTATTTCATTTAAAAATTTATTTTTCACATCCCAATTTAAGGCCAAACCGAAGGCAAGCTTAATGCTAATAAGAGTTCTCTTCCAGTCGAACCTGGGGGTAGAGAAAATTTGATGCGAGTTAAAAACAAAATATGCGAAATGAATTAAAGAAAAATAAATAAAAAAAAAACAAAGGTACATTCTATAGAAATATACTTAAATGGCATGATACGCCGTGATATATTAAGATGATATCATATGTCCAATTATTTTATGCGACAAATCACTAAGTTTAAATATGTGAAAAAAAAAATATTGATGGTCTGCTACCTGTGAGTGCCAGTGTTTCTGTGATTTTTATAATTTTAGTGAACGTTTATAAATATTACAATAATTTAAGTATATTTAATTCCGTATGTATTCCGTAAAATATATTTAGGCCACAAATATGCATTCCATTCTTTCAGTTTTACTCTTTATTTATTTTTACCAAGATAAACACATAAAATTTAAAAACATGGGCCCTTTAAACAGTTCACCGCTGCGTTCAGTTCAAAATAATAATAAATAAAATTCATGTCGACTCAAAAATTTAAAGCGATTTGTAAAAAGACTACACTTTTGGCGCCATCTATTGGCTGCGCTCGGAATTATTTCGACAGCGGGAGCATGTCTTACGAGCATAGTGACGTAGAGTTGATATGTCATAGGCTTAAATAAAAAAAATAATTCATACAGATTACGTGCCTGGAATTAGGGTATATTGTCATATGTGCGACGTGGAAATTATTTTGTTTGTTTTATCTGAAAAAGAAAATATTATCAAATAAGACTGTTGCCTTTTTTTAAGAGTCCAAGTAGATTATGTTTTATTCAAATTCAATGATCATATAAAATGAGTGTTTTATTTCAATTAGTTTTTAGTTTCTAACTATTAACCAAATAAATGTTACGAACGTGTAAAGTCTTTAAATTCCCAAGGCTGTCCCCAAGTTAGCGTAGTGGGTTTTTCCCCAATACTCTCTGTACAGAGAGGGCCTTTGCCCAGCAGTTTTATATAGGCTGTTACTTTACACAAACTAATGACTATCTTTATGATAGAAATTACCAGAAAGTTTACACATGAATGATTTAACAATTGAGATATCTATATATCAGAAACTGAAGTTTAACCTAGCACACTGTAGGTCATAATTCGTGTTGCAATTTGATTGTGTTAGTCAAGAAACAAATTACGACGACCATCCAACCAAAGTGTATGTCACAAAAATATTATATTGCATGAATGAAATTCGCGATAAGTTGTGCTGATTCCAGCCGTAAGTGACTACTCTAACTGAACTCAAATCTATACATTCCCTGCTGCTAGTTAGACCTTTCCTGTTTAAGCATCAATCCATATAGTACCTAAAGGAAGAATCCGGTCACTATTACAAATATCTTCAGCAAATTAATGATAAGTGTGCGAAATTTTCTGGATATTTACGATCAGAAATTTACACGAGAAATATACTACAATCATGCGTCACATAAGCCATAATCGTTCCTACTTTAGATTATTTTTGGTATTGACAGTTATTACACAAATAATTAATCGGAAATCATGAATAGTCAAATATACAACTTAATAATTCATAGCAATAAATCACAATAGTATTTCTGTTAACAACTTCTTGATTTTATGGATAAGAACTAATTTCAATGTTATACAACTTTTAAACATAGCTAGTAAATACGTTGAAAATTCAATTTAGTTTTCATAAGTTATTTGCTACCCATATTGTTTCGATCATTCTAATATATAAATTTTGGTTGTAATTAATTTTCATATTTAAAAAATAAGAAATGGTAATGTTCCAATTGGAATTGAATTGAATACATTTAATTAGTTTGGATTAACAAAATTATATTATTTTGGTATTAATAGTAATTGCATAAGATGCAATTGAATACTTTCATAAAGTTTTCGTAACGAGGTATTCTTAACCTCTTCACACAACAGTTTTTATGTTTTTCATCGGCTATTTTTATAATATTTGCCTCTTTTCTTTATTTTGAATATCCACAACAATCTTTGTTGCTGACAATTGGTATTTAGCTGACAACTTACTTATACTGAAAATGTTAAATGTATATTTAAAGCTATATACAAAAGAGAGATTTATCTGCGACTAGTTTTTTTTTCTAGTATGCGTGGCATAGGTAAATGAAAGACTGAAAATTAGGCTCGATTCAAATAATGACCTGATTTTGGTTTGTAAAATATAATATTTTCATTGCACGTATGGCGTCCGTACGTAAACTAACATGATACGCAAAAAACTCCATTTGATACAATCACAAAACTATAAAAATACATTTACTTTAAAACATTCATATCTGAACGTAAATATATTATATGCATAAAATATTTGTAAATGGACGAATAGTTTTACACTGGGAGTTTAGTCTTTAATTAAAAATTAATTGATAGCCAGTGACAACTTTTTACATTTTAACCGTTTTATAAACACTTTGTAATATAATATTTTACAAATTGTTCTCCAGTTTATAAACATTATTTTATGGGTATCATTTAGATAATTTAGAACGTTAAATCTAAAGTAAAACTACTTATTGCGAAATTATTAAGCTTCGTCTCATATCAAATTCTAAAGTTGTGTCTTCTATTATCTATCTCAAATCATGTACCTCAGTTTCCAAGAATCCACACAGGTCAGCGAATAATAACACGGTCTTCTAGTATTTCGTAGTCGTTGAGTTGACGTTACCAGAGAGTATTATGCAAACAGGTCATTCTATACACATAAAACCTGGCGCTCTTCAAATGCCTCGCGTGACCTCTGAACTATAGGCTTGTCGCAATACCCACCACGCTAAACGTGCCCGATTTGCCTACATTCTATATATGGTCAATTCTTTGTTGCTCGTTTCATTTCATAAATATCATAAATATCGTAAATGATGTGTTACGGCTTTCTTAGACCATCCATTCGACAGTTGAGCTGCTTTGATATCACTATTATGTTTAATCCGACCAATTTATAAGCGCATTTATTGTGATCTAGTGGAGAACACTTTTTTATCCGACTGCAACGATGTCCAAAAGGAGAGTTACGTTCTTGACTTGCAAGTATGTATGTATATATACGAGGATGTCGGTCGTATTTCCTCACAAGGTCCAAATGGCTAAACCGATTTTAATAATGAATTGATGAATTATAACATGTTAGATTCTATTTTATTGGGCATTTAGATTCATTGTTGTGCAAATGGTTTTTCGTTTTTAAGGTTTTGTACATGTAAAATCACAATCTAACATCGGCAAGTTTTTCGGTAAAAAGCTCTGTTTAACACTGGTAGAATAAATAGGTCACTTCATAATGTAAAAAGTGAAAACCTACCATTTTTCCATTGTCACGTTGATGTCTGTGAGAAATACAGACACGTGGCAAAGTCGATTACAATTTACTACAGCAGATCAAAACAGGGTTATTGTTTTTTGTTGTAGTTAGTGACGGGACCCGTTTACAATTGGCAGTTATAGTTGGCGTTTCCACTTAATTGGTGGCTAAAAAAACTTACTTAACATTTTTTTATTATATAAGAACATGGCGAGAGAGCGGGCAGTTCACCTGATGTTAAATGATAACCGCCGCCAATGGGTATTTGCTACCTGTAGGATTGCAGATCCCTAGCCACCTTTTAATGATTTAGGCCCCTGTCACTTCACTCATCAGTTGAAATGTTCTTCCTTGAAGTTGAAGTTGGTCTTCTGTGCGGTTATGGTACTCCCTCGACGGACCTGCTCATTCATGCAAGAGAGAAGATTTTTGCGTGGCCCTAACTGTATATATATTTAGATACACTGGTTGTTGAAAGTAACAAGTTGAGTTGTTCCATATACAACGATTGTATTTGCAAATACCACCTTGATCTAATAAAACGTTTCGTAAACAAAACATCGTCTGTCGTAAGAGTAATGTTTTATTAAAATGAAATTCATTTCGTTTATGCTTGGTAGCGACACAAGAATTGTTCTGGTGTTATTACTAACGGCTATTGTCACGTGGGCAGTCCCATGTAAGTGTGAACACGGCACCGCCATTAACTTGAGATAAGACCTAAGATTTGGGATTGACTTTGATAACGTGGAATACACGTTTTACTCATTATCGAACGAAAGCTCCAAATAATAACTATAAAATGTTTACGTCAGTGTGCGAACGTGGGAATGTAACATCATATATTACAACTTTTATCGTTAACCGATGAACGGATATGAAGTAAGCTTTTTTTGTCGAATAATGTAAATAAATAAGAGAGTGCACTTGGAAAGTAAGTGGTATTTCTATCAGAAACTTGTGATATAGCTGCTTTGGTCGTATTTAAATCTTAATTTAGTAAACTAGTACTTTGATGCTGAAAAAAATGGAGCTATGCATTGCTGTCAATATTCTGAAGGCGTAACGAGTTTGAAGTATGATATGGTGCGTGAACATTCAATTTTATAGTAGTTTTCAAGTTATTTTGTTAAGTTATTAATTCAGGTTCATTTTTATTGTCATTATTTATGCAATTACGTAAAATTTACGTTATGTTAGATGGATTTTTTTGGTGTAATACGATGTATTAAGCTGAAGAAGTCCAAACAAATTTATTTATCATACGAGGACCAAGGCTTGAGTTAAAGTAAGCAGCTTGAAATCGTGAATTATTGGGTCTAAGTTCCGCCTAATTTTTTTTAATTCATGAAACTTGGAAAATAGCCAGTGGCTTAGTATAAGCTATTCGATTCTCACTGAACATAGTTCGGCATCGCCGGGGCTCGTGCGGAAGCGCCAGGCCAGCTTTTAGGTGAGAAAACACGACAAATATTTTCTATAAGGTTTCAATCTAGGTAATTGTAATAACATCAAATATTTGCTGATCGATTAACAACCAATAATTACCGATTGCAAACGCCAAGTTATCGGATCCCCTATTCAATTTAAGATAGAAGTAAGTTTGAACTATAACATTAGGGTACTGTGGATAGTGTTAAAAGCGGTTGACATTATCCACAGCACAGCTTAACAGCAAAGCGCAGTTTGTTGACGCGCGATGAGAGCTTGACCGTACAATTCGTTAGCCGAGTGGTTAGGGGACAGACGTTGCAGCCATCGGTGGTGTGCAATAAAACCGCGGCGGCATTAATTAGAGAGCAAACGGCATACGCCACGGGACCCCCACTAGCGGCGGTCGAGCCACAAAAGCCCCCACTTTGGGGCAGTCAATGCCCCCCTATAACGGTACAGGCGGGGCCTGCCGCGAACACGCCAATCACGGCGGTCGCCGAGCGGCCGCGACTCGGTGATCTAAGCGAATGGTCTAGCTCTCGTGTCATTTCGCGAGCGTCGGATTGGCCCATGATAAGGTGATTTCGACGTTTCAGTTTCCGACACGCGATCTAGTTTCGGCGCGCCGACGCGTCGTGATTTATCGCCCGCGGCTCGATCCGAACTTCGACCTGATTACGGGCCGCGGTTGGAATACAAGCGGGAATAATGCGTAGCGAGTTTTTTTTTACGCTGCGACTGTAAACTGGGGGTTTTCGTAGTGGTATCGTGCAGGAGCCATCGATAAAAAGTCGGGAGTCACCTGCGCCGGCTCAATAAAATATGTTAACCGAGACAAGGGGACAGAACGGCTGCGCGCGGTCGTACCGTACGTTATGTGGTCGGACAGCGCATAGAGAAAGTAACGGTAAATCGGACGCGACCTTCCCACCCGGTGTCCGCATGCCGACTGACAGATGAGCACGGCTTAACCTCTGATAATAAGAGGGAGCGGGACGGCCATAGGTGGGGCGCGGGCGAGCGAGCGGGATGCGAAACGTGTCTTCTTCGGTGATCGTGAGGTGCAAGATGAGTGTACAGTCACACACGGGCCACATCCGAGTGAGCCTCGGGGACGGTTTGAAAAACGAACCGCGCGATTCGCGTTGCGCGTACGCACGGACGCGCGCGTTCGTATTTTGAATTCGCACTGCGCATTTGCGGACTTTTCGAGAGATTTTTTTTAATAATCAAAATACAGTCTCCTGATTTTATAGAGTGCCAGTGATTAAAAAATAGTGTTATAGTGAAACAATGAATACAAGTACGTAGTTGTTAAAGTGAAAAACATTTGATAATTTTTTTCCGATAAGTGAAAAGTTTTCTGCGCATCCAAATTTAACCGTCAACGTAAGTGTTTTTGTTTGTTTCATGCACTCGCTAGTATTTTCTTTTTACTTAAATGACTTATTTTTCAATTTACTATATATTCCATTTACAAATTTACAGATGAATTCACACAGCAATACACTTTAACTTAGCCTTGCCCACCTGTTAAATTAATAATACAGAAATATTTCAAAACTGAGATAATTTATTAAGGTAACTCGAAACTATGCTAGTATAATGTATACGATATTCATTTTTAATTTATTCTTAACAGCCGGTGTTAAAAAATTTGAATATAGAACGCTCCAATAAAATTAAACACACACACACAACACATATACTTAGTTCTCAATCGAAATGTCTTTTTTCATAGATTTCCCATAGTGACCACACATCGTGCTCTATTAATATTAAGATAAAGGTCAGAGATCACACACATCAATAATCCCTATTGTCTTTACATTTCACACGGACAACCACAGGAGGGTAATGTAATAAGAGGCAATTATTAATTCTAGGCAATAACAACCTCAAAGTCAGTATAGTGGCAAAAGCTTGGGTCGTAGTTCCCTTGGTGTTGGCCACTGCGTCAGTTAAGTTCACCCGATGATCCATAACGTGACCGGAGATATCACAATCAAGTGTATGATTGATTACGTTCGCTAGACATGTGATGGCAACATTATTAGTGTGGTAATGTAATAAGAGGCAATTATTAATTCTAGGCAATAACAACCTCAAAGTCAGTATAGTGGCAAAAGCTTGGGTCGTAGTTCCCTTGGTGTTGGCCACTGCGTCAGTTAAGTTCACCCGATGATCCATAACGTGACCGGAGATATCACAATCAAGTGTATGATTGATTACGTTCGCTAGACATGTGATGGCAACATTATTAGTGTGGTAATTCGGTTTTTTACGTGCCGACGCCGGCCTCGCCGAAGCGCTACGCATGTACTATTTTCAAAGGATTGTCGATTAATTTATGCATACTGCGGTGGCTTGTTAATATTCCGATTTCGGGTCTGGAATGGATGAACTAGGAGACGAAGGGAGAGAGGATGAATGTTCTATCCTTCCCTCTACTTTTCAAAAACTGTTGTTAAAGCTGATACATAATGTGTTGGTAATAGGAAACAATATCGATTGTCATAGGGAGCCTTTTCATAAAATATTAATTAAAATCTAAAATTGTTCATACAATAAGTGAAATTGTAAAATGTGAATTTTTAGAAGAGTTTTGACTGATTCCGCAGGAATAAGGGATTTTGCAATTTATGAAGTTATCTATACTTAATTTTTTTGCATAGTTTATTATGGAATAAAAGCCACGCTACCGTTTTCTTCGCAAATCATCAAAATACTTTTTAAAACAAACTAAGGAGTCTTAAATGCTATGCAGAGGCCAGGATTTTTCACAAAAAAATATTTCGATTTTGTTTATTTTAATATTTAAGAAACATTTATACATAAAATATAAACTATATTTTCGGAAACATATAAAAAGAATTCAATGACATTTATTAAGCATTTTCAAACATAGAGTATACTAAAAGAATATTTATGACAATAACTTTTTAAATATTCCAAATGTATTCATTCAAACCACATTTAATTTAAAGGTTTGCTTCACAGCAATAAGTGCATAAATAACAGGAATTGGCAATATTCATTAATTTTTGTGTCACTATTCATATGTTTTACACGCATAAATAATTTCAATTGATATGCAAATGTAGCTAAAGAGGCGTTAAAACAAACTCTTATTTAAATATGTGAGCAATTAAATTTTTATATACGGCATAATGTTACTATTGAATGGTCCAAACCACAGTGGATATCGCTCCGGAAACCGAATATTAATCCAATACTCGCATCTAAGCGATTGGACAAATTAAAACGTGCCACATATGAAAATAATAAAAAAAATCGTAAAAAGAATGGTTTACGACGCATCTAACACTTAATGTCTATTACAAATTCTGTAATGTATGTAAAAAAATAGGAGAAACAATTTATGGCGTTTTCGATTTGACACGTTTGTCCACGTGATTTTAGTTCACATTCCAAATAAAAATTCATAATTTCGTCATTCCGATCCTAAAGTCACACTCGCGGGCTAAATTAACTTGAATTTAACCAGCCTTAACGTAATTTTCAAGGTAACATTTTAAAACCTTCGCTAAGCCTCACATATACTGCTGTACTGTAGTACTCATGTAGCGACTGCTCTCTATTAAATTGACAACACTGAGAAAAAGTCAATATCGTGCACTAATTTTAATTTAACTGTTAAAACGTATGAACGTACGGTTGTGAAAAAGCACTTTTCGTTTTATTTTTATAATCACCACAAGCTTAAAAATTCCTATTTTAATGGTTTTTTTTTATTAATGCAACATACCTATATATTTCGGTTGTTTAAAACCTAGCATTTAAAATCTAATATAATTTTGTTTTCAAATAAGGTTGGTGAGAAGACAGCAGTAGTTATCAATGCCTTCCCTGTGTATTTGAAGGTATGAGAGCTAATTTCTGTGCATTAGACTTATTACAATACTCTACATAAATACTATACATGAAGCATTTCGATTTTAAAAGTTTTGTAGTGTTTAATGATTATGAGACACTATAATAAAATAATATATTATTAATTGTTGAACCATAAAAAATCTTTAAAATTTTTCTGCAGTTAAGTATTCTTTGTGCAATAAAAGTTTTCTTTCTTTCTTATTCAGTGGAAATAACAACTATAATCTACTGGTTAGTAGTTTGATGCTCCACTTAACGAATAAAATGGTTATTTAAATTTTATTACATAGCTTGTGATAGAAGAGACAATGCCGAAAACTGTAAATATGACTTTAAACAATTCTTACAGAGAAGCATGACAGACCGCAAGAATTACATAAGCTCCATTGTGTTCCGAGTTATAAGCAACGGCGATTACTTTTGACCAAACCAACTTGATAATTTTGTATATTATTTTATATTTATATGATTGTAAAATTTGAAAGTACTCTCTAAAATTGTTCTCCGTTTTATATTTGTGAAGCAAATTGTTAATTACTTATATTTTGGTTAAATTGTGAATTATCTTATTCATGTTTTACGTACTTGTGCTAAAAACGTAAAAAGTATTTCATCATCGTATTTGAATAATTACGTTATTGGTACTAATTTCCACACAACGCTATTTAAAAATAAGACTGGAAAAAGCTATAAAGCATGGACAAAATGCTTCAAACTTTCAAAATCGCTTCATTTCCACACTTGGGCCACACCGAGCATAACAAAGTAGAAAGTCAACGCGTCTAAGGTTTTTACAACGGGGTGCGCCTGCGGTCAACGGCGGAGACAAGTGATGGTGTTTTCACCTCTTCTCCGTTAATGGGCCGCCCGTTCTGTTTTACGGGCTGACAGCTCCGTTTCGTTTGTACGTGCTATTACGTGGAGTTTCAACGGCTGTTTAATACAATGATCCTGATGCATACTTCCTTCCTAAATAGCCCAATCATATACAAACTCACAAACAGACATCATCAATCTGTAATCATAATCTAAGTGTGGTAGAGCAACGCAGCAGCACCGGCTGTTATATGAATGGGCAGACTCGTCCCGGTATGTACCACGACCTCACAGAAGACCGGCGTGAATTGGAAGTATGAATTACACGCATTTCGTCTGGTGAGTGTGGTAGCCGGACCCCAATTTTCAAAAGGTTGTCAACACATCTGCAACCCTATGGAGTAGCACATGTCCATGGGTGGCGGTACTCACTTAACATCAGGTGAACCGCCAGCTCGCTTGGCAACATTTCACATAAAAAAAATCAAGCAAAGACTCATATATTTTATGTTATGTACGTTTGTACAGTTTAGTACCTTTATATTTTCAATTGAACGTTTATTTGATTTGGTATAGTTCCAATTGAACGTTTATTATAATAATTTCATGTTGATCGCTGAATTCGATCCTTGACAATATTTGTTGAGTAGTAAATAAAAAACGAAATAATAATTAACACACCTTTTCATGTCTAGTATAGAATTTTGTTTTTCTTTATGGAAAAAAATGTTACGAATATGAAACAAATAATCATCTTCATAGATGCCTCATTTCTGCATTCAGAAGTAGTGAACAAAACAGTGCGTAGCAGAAGAGAAAATTTTTACGTACCATGCGTTCTACCTACAAGATTAGATTGGAATACTAGATGAAATAACTGGTAAATTCCAGTGATACCCTTCTCGACTCAATTCACTTCTATTTTATCTAGAATAAGACGTTGTTTGAATAATACTAGACAACAGAATGAAGTCTGTACTTTAGTCAGTTAAA